ATTTTACTTAGGAATTTAAGTACAAATAAATTCCCAAATGAATTTCTAAGTAAAATCCCATGTAAATCCCCACGTAGGAAACCACATGGAATCCTACGTGGTACTCCACATGGTTTCCTTAGTAATGATAAAGATTACTGTCGCTCCTATACTTTCACCGCTAGGTGGCGAAAGTGACTTCTCTCGCTGTTGAGACGACTCTGGAATTATATAAAAGCTGAGAACCTGTAGCAGAGAGGACGTGTTTCAAATGATCGTTTTTTAACTTTTTTGATGACTTGTAACACTAATACTATTTATTATTTAATTTTTTATTAAATAATTTTTAATCCTTTGAAAATTTCTTAATTGGATCTTTAATAAAATACTATGTGATATCTCATTAAATCCTAGGTAAAATCTTGCATGAAATGCTATGTCAATTCCCATATAAAATCCTACGTGAAATCCCTTGTAAAATTCCAAGTGGATTCCCATGTAGGGATATTCAATAAGGCGGATAATGTTTTTCACATGGGATTTGGTTTAGGATTTGACATGGGAAAATAATTATAAATAAATGATACTGTTTTTCACATGGGATTCGGTTTAGGATTTGACTGGGAAAAACATGTGGGATTTGATATGGTTTTATGCATAGATGAACTGTTCAAATTTCCTATGTCTATTCCTAACTAAAATCCTGTCTCAATTTCCCATATGGTTTGACATGGGAAACCACATGGTAAACCACGTGGTTTCCTTCATGGAAGTAGGGTTTTACATGGTTTTTGACGTAGGATCGCATGTGGTTTCCCATGTGGTTTCCCATATGGGGATTTTCAATAGGGAAGTTTCTGTTATGCAGACAATATCCGGATTGTGAATCCATAACAGTGTTTCTAATTCCGATCTTTTAGGGATAATGCTTCTCGCATTCCACAATAAAAAAGATAAAGATTTATTTGAAGATCTGTATAGTTAAGAGGACATACTAGAGACAGGTATACAGTCAGGGCGAGCATGCAATGTAAAGTAGAGCAAAATAATTTAAAATTGTTATTACTATTACTAGGGAAATGTATTAAAATCAGTCCTACGTCACTTAGGTAAAATATAGTATTGATGTCCAATAAAGTTCAGTTAGGTCATATATAAAGACAAGACACAGATTACAATTTATAGCAAAGAACAAATATTTATTTGGAGAAGACATCTTCCTCCATTTTACTGTCACTAGATTGATTCGTAGGTGAATTCTCAGTGTTGGGTAATTTGTCAGTGTTAGAGTGCGTGTCAGAAAGCTGTGAGTGAGTTGAAGAATTGTCGATGGATGTTGGTGTAGGGGGATCTTCTTCATCCATAGGAGCAGCTAAATTCGCATTAGTGTGTTCTATGTTACCCTCCCAAACAATCTCATAGCCAGGTCTGGTAATACCTTCATTTAGTAGTTGTTCAGCCTCCTCATATCCAACATTACCCTCAAGTCTACGCCTCATGATCAGATATTCGAATTGATAGAAAGGACAAACGCGTGCGGAGGCAACATGTTTTCCAGAGCAGTTAGAACAACTAGAGGGGTAATTGCGTTTATCGCAGTCCCGCTGCTCATGAGGACCTCCGCAAAATTCGCATGTGTAGTGTGTGGATCTACATTGATCCTTGATGTGTCTAAAGCGCTGACACTTATGACAGCGTTTGGGGGGAGGAACGCATAAAATAAGTTTGAAGGTCGCCCTTGAAATGAGGATCGAGTCAGGAATGGTGATACCCGAGATGGCAAATTCCACGAGTCCTGAAATCTCCTTTGGGTTTAGTGCTCTCCTACGAATGGAGATGATGTTCTCTAGAGTTTCGGGTAGTAACTTAATACTGATAGTGTGCTGGAAAGGTCAAGATCAACGTCGTGTGCCAAGGCTTTCCTGCTAACAAGGGATGTTGGAATAAATAGTTTGTACCCTTTTGAACGAAGGTCTTGAGAATTATATTGTCTACCTTCTAAAAAGAAGGGCTATTTTCACTTGATCACATAATTATTGTACCTTTTTCAATAATGTTACCCAAGAAATCTACTTTTCTAATCGTGTTGACTTCTTCACTGGTAAATATTCGCAATGAATCAGATAAATCAAAATAACAATGTAAATCAACGAGTAATGATTTTTTAATTAGTTTATGGTCATAGGAAATTGTTTTCGAAGTCTCATTGTTTAAAAATCGGTAGTTTTGACGAAGTTGGTGTTTTACAGCGATAGTTTTGCACACATTAACACACCGAAAAAAATAAAATCTCAAAGTGAGAAGAAAATTCCGCTTAACAATTATTTTTACACTTTATTTTTAATATGCGAATATTCATTTACAAAAAAGAGGAATTTTTGTTTATATTTAAAAGTTTTTTTTACTAAAAGATGGATTTTAACCTTTCTTCTTTGTTTGAAATTATTCCTCTCAAATTGAAACAAATTTATACTAGAAAGAAGATTTTTAAGCTGTTTTTTGTTTTTCTGAACGCACCTTCAAACTGCTTAAAAAGTGACATTTAATGGAAAATGTGAAAGAGGAAAAACCTCTCAATTAGAAATGAAAACTTTAGTGCCCATATATAAGAGGAAAAAATGCTGCAAAAGAAGAGGAATAGTCTAAAATTGAAATTATTTTTTTTTCGGTGCACGGTTCATTGAGGACCGAGAAGTGATTTTGCCCTCTCGATGCTTAGCTTCATATCTCATCGTTGAAATTTTCCAAAGTGGGCCACACAGGCGCAATACTTTTAGGTAATGAGTTAACAAATAATATTTCGGTTTCAGAGAGTTCGGAAAAATCGTTGTTTTATATAACAGGCAAGTGTGTTACAAGGGTCAACATTTTCGAAGCTGACATAATAATCTGTCCGTTTTTAATGTGACTGTCAAGAATTTCTGCTGGTTTATTTTTAATAGAACCATAATTGAACCCTTTTATAAGATTATTTAGCCTTTCAAGAGTCAAGTATGGTTTTTTCTTATTTGTTAGATCTTTTTTAATAAAACTTTTAATAATATGACACAGTTATATAATATCTACAAAAACCGTCAGGTGCGTAATGGACAACATCTAGAGAAAAGTTTTTAACCGGATGATAGTCTCCTACACTTTGCAAAATACATTTTTCAACAACTCCTGTTTCATCAGAATTATTTGTTAAGACATCTTTTTCATAACTCGACACAGTTCGCAATAATACCTCATTTTCCATCCAGACAGAATTTATATCCTTTCTATTAATTGTACAAATTCGACAAAATTATTTGTGATTAAAACTTTCCGTGAATCCCACCCCAGTAGCACGTAATATTACAGCAATATTGGGAACATTGCCTTAACATTACCAATATTGCCTCAATGTTGTGGCATATTGCTGGAATGTTCCCAATATTACGTGCTACTTGGGCAGCAGCTCATTTACAGCTAAATTATCTCCAATTATTAACGAAAGACGAAAGTACAAGTATTTTACTTCGCTTTGGAAGATTAATGGGAATTTCTATATTTTCTAAGACCTTTAACCCTTAAACCGCACCCTGGGTGTGCGACACCCATATTCTAGCTTTTTACTCTAATATCTCGTTTAAAGTCGTAAAAACTGAACATATATCGCTATTGGACGACACATTTTGTACTTAACTTTATGTTCCGTGAGGGAGATTAGTCTTCCAAGTGTCTTTGTGTATTTGATAACTTTATGAAGTTAACAGCGAAAAATTTCTGGGTGGCTGATACCCAGTTTTCGGTTTAAGGTGATTTCAGTAGTTTTAAAAAACATTTTTTTAATTATTAAGATTAAATAAATCATTATGAAACTTATTTTCCCTTTAAAATATATGTACTGAGCTACATAAGATAATTTTTCTGAAACATAATATCCTTTTCCAGCTTGGAGAACACACTTTAAAGTCCCCGGGTGTCGCACACCCAGTGTGCGGTTTAAGGATGGATTCGGAAGTGTGCGGTTTAAGGGTTAAGGAGGTTCTATCGATAATTGATTTAATGAACAGATTTTGATAAAATTTGATGAGCAACTAGATAAAGTTAATATAAAGGCGTAGTTAAATTTTTGTAACCTCTAGGTACCTATGAAAAGAGTTATAAACATTTTTGATTTTCAACATTTAACATTGAGTCTTATGGGAATTGAGTATAGTTTGTCATATATATTTACAAACTGCAAAGTATTAAATGAACAGATATTGATCTAAATTTTTTAAATACTAAACCGATATGCAATAATTACATATCTGTTAAAACAATTGTCAATAGGTACCTGTGAGATTTACAATAAATCAATTTGTAAACAAAATTTACGTTTCATCTAAAAATATAAACAACACTTATAACGTTTGGCAACGTTGCATGCACTATACACATTAAATTTGAGCGCGAAATTTAAATGATAATTTTTATTACAGGTTAGAAATAATTCGGCGTTGCCAAACGTTTGACGTTACCAAGTGAGTCAAAACATTAAATATTTCTCACTGTTTTGACTAGCTGCGTCAAGCGATAGAACCTCCTTAACTCGTCTTTAACTTTCGGAAAAATGATAGGATTTTTGTAATATTTTCTAAATTTTATTTTTATTTTTTTTTATTTTTATTTTCTAAACTGTTAAATAAAATAAATAAATAAATATTTTCAAGTTTTGACTGAAATTGTGGAGGTAAACAGGGAATGGAAATGTAAACTGCACCACATTTAGAAATGCCCTTGTGACTTCCTAAGGGATTGTTCGTTTCGTAGTCGTCGAAGTACAAAAATAGTGGAAGTACAATTTCATTGCCAACATTTTTACGATCTTTCTAAAGTGTTCCCTGAATAAAATTTGAAATTGTCGACGTATTACATTTAAAAAAATCTATGTATTTAATTGTATCTGTATAAACTGATGGTAATTCAAAGAATTTTTTGAACACATGACGTAGAGGTATGAACTGAGCAGTTGCAGGCACCATCTTCATAACAGTATTTCCATTTATTTGTCGAAAATCTTGTCTCTCGCCAATCAGATACGATTCTGGTAAAATATAATTCTGATTTTTCTTAAATTTGTCGAAAATGGTAAATTCTGTATTAAAATTTTTTAAATGTTCCACAGCTGTCATCAATGGCATTTTCTAAATTGTTCAAAATTTGCGGATCAACATTCTCGGAGACAGTATGAAAAGTATGTTTTAATATAGTCTTTACCAATTTTTGAATATCATTTAATATTTCAAGAGATCTAGCTCTCAAAATATCTGGATAATCATATATTTTAGCAGCAAAATTCAACCATTCGTTGGAAGAGCTCAAACATTTGGTGAAGTTATTTGTGCACTAGATTTATGATTATCAAGATTACTGTTTTTGGACTCACAAAGAATATCATAGTTTTATCTGTCTTCACTTGTGGCTACTTGAGAGGTAGATGGTTCACATATAGCTTTAGTACTTTCACTAATTAAATAAATTTCTGTTTTTACACTTAACTTCGGTCTTTTATGAGCTGCTTCGACAACTTTTACCTGGTTTCTTTGTACGTGAGTCCGCAATTAATTAAATGATTTAAAATTTCTTAAGCAAGAATGAGCACCGCATTTGAAGCTATTCGAAGTAGAATGACTTCAATTTATATGACTAAGAAATTCTTTAAAGCCTTGAAAAGTATTATCACAATTTTTACAGTCAAACATCGTAAAAACTATAATAAATTCAAATTATTTTAATTTCTTTGAGAAACTTCCTGTAAAATTCTCCCTATTAAGACATTCGTTTCTCTATTACATTTTTCATTCGGTAAATTGATATACAGAGCTTTTTGAATAAATAGCCATATGGGCCCCGCCCTGGTTGTCTATGTATAGCTTAATTAAAATATCAGCTGCAGTTTTTGCGTGAATAATAAAGGCTTTTGTTTTTCCCTGACGGAAATTTTTGCGGCTCGAGTCTTACTTCGCGGAGGATTTATTAAATATAGCAGCAAATAAAGCAACACTGCATCCTTGTTGTGTCTTGCCAGTGATGGTCATGCGTGAAAAAAATCCAAATCTTCACCAGATTATTGTTTGCATTCTTGTAATGAGGTTTGAAGAATGTTTATTGCACTGTCCCAATGACTGCTTAATTTGATTTCACAATTTTCGTGCAGTTTTTTGAAATCTTGCAACAGCTGTTAAAAATTAATTCATTAAAATTTTCTCTAAAAATTTATATTAGTTAATAATAATTTATTTAAATTAAGTATTGTTTGTTACGAAAATTATGGATTGACCTTATTTACTTTTTAAACCTATTTTTTAAAATGAAAAATAAATTAAAAATTAAATTATTTATTAAATTATATTATTATCTCAATAAATTAATTTAGGAATTTATTTAATTTCAATAATTAGAGTTTATTTTAAAGGATAGGACCGGTAATCTTTCAACCCTTCGATATTTACGTTGTTGACGGGCGGCAAATTTTTTTTTCATTATTTAGATCTTAATTTATTCTATACTACTAAAACTAAATAAATTTTTTTGAACATTTTCGAAATCTTTTTTTAAAGAAATTAAAATTTTAACCATTTTCGAAATTTTTTTTCAGATATTAAAATAGTAAAATTTGAGGCAATCAAAATTGACCTTTTTTAGAAATTTCGATATTTTTAAAACATTTTTTCAGTATTTACAATTATTATACACTACAAATAATTAAATAATGAAATTTTTAACTGCTTTACAATTTTTTATTCTTCAAAAAAAAATTTCTTTTTTTAAATAAAATTTTTTAAAATCCATACGATTAATTGATTTGAATCATGAAACTTGCGGACATAAAAAATCGCGAATGGAAATGAATAAAAATTTTAAAAAATAGTTAAAGTTTATGTTTTTCGAAAATTTGTATTTTTATTTAAAGAAATATTAACTTAAATAATTTTATTTAATTTTTCAAAACATTTCATAATTTTAATTACTTAAATTTGTCATAAAAAATTGACATCCTTTAAACAACAGAAATTTAGTATGGGTACAATTTCGCCGGTCCCTCCTTTTTGTACAGAAAGTGGTGATGTTTTCAAAAATGTTTTTTAAATATAAAAATTAAAAAAATAAGTTGTTAAAATATACTTTTAAATATAGTAATTGATTAAAAAAACTATTTCTAAGCTTACCAACGTTCGTCCTAATGCGGTCTTTAAAATAATCGTAAACACTGGCTGTTTTTTGCATGCTTAAGGATCATGATCCGGATCTTTTCGTATGCTGTGATTGGTTACTGAGTGATCTGGATCATGATCCGTGGACATGAAAACACCTACTGTATCCATTTTTTAAAAATGATTGACGTTTTAAATGCGATTTTTTTTAAAAAACAATAATTTTTATTTATTTGTGTAACGTCCTGTAATAATGACGTCATATTTTAAATATTAGAAATTTCTGTATTTTATACAAAGACATATTTTGAAGAAAATATCTAAACTGAGAGAAGATAGTTATAAGCCTAAAAATCAATACTCTAAAATTTTCAGTTTTAATCTTAGAGTATACTATCTTCGTCTCCACACACAAATAGAGATTTCTTGAAACTATGTTCTTTTAGTCTATTCCGCTAAAAGGAAGATAAAATTCCTTCAAGATAAACCTTATATTTTTTACAACAGTCCCTTTTTACACAACTTCATCAAAATATGTTTTCATGAAAATAATATTAAATTCTTTTAAATATATTCTGTTTAAATTTAAATAATGTTAATAAAATTCAAAATGTCAAATTAATTAATTATTACTAATTAACAATAAAAGTTATTAACAAAATAATTGTTTTTAACAAATTAAAAATATTTCTAACTATATAAAAATCGACATAAATTAATTAGTTAATTTTGAAATTTCGAATATTATAAACAAATAATTAACAATAAACAATTAACAACAATTAGAATTAATTGTTGAACAGTTAAAATATTAAAGTCCGAAATTATTAAATAACAATTTTGATTATTTGTTTCATTAATTAATAGAATGTTTAAACACATTATCCAGTTTATTGTTAAATAAAATATTAATTAACAAATTATTATTATAACTATTAAGTAATGAAATAATAATCAGAATGTTATCGAATTAGTTAGAATAAATAGGTAATTATTGAAATCATTAATTTTATTGTTGTTATTATCTTTAATAATTATGAATGTTTAAACAAATTATTGACAATTAACTTTATTAAAGTTTGTGGTTTTTCATTCTGTCCGTTCGCAGTATGAAGTTAGTTGTTAGTTATCATTTGCGAATTGTTATCATGATTTTTTTGTTTGTTTATATTTTTCGTGATATGTTTTGACATTTCCGATGTTATGTTGTGCGGTAGTGCGGGTGTTTTTAAAAAACGTTAAATTGTGACAAGAATTATTGTGTTTGAAAAATCGTGGAAAAATATCTGGTATCAGGCGAGAGGTTACCGTTTTCAGTGGAAAAAAACTGTAGATTGGTAAGTTATAATTAGGGGAGAGTCTCCAGTTGTGAGACGGGTTTCATTTTTGACCCGTAAATTGTAAACGGGTAAACGAAATTGTTAATAAAATACACCGTTCGAAAGGTAACAGAAATACGCAACTTTTATTAAAAGAAAGTATAGTGTTTCGATGAACTCAAAAAATTTTACGATACATTTTCCGAGCACATCGCTTTTTTCAAAAAAAAAAAATGTCTCCAGTTGTGAGACACTCATTAAAAATTGCTAAAATTTAATAAGTTTGACATAAAACGTTATGTTTAGTAGAAATAATTAAATATATTAATAATATATATTATTGTATACTAAATAATAATATTTATTCGCCAAAATATGACTATCAAATAAACACAATTTAATAGCTTGAACAAGAGCATTAAAATTGATTTCTTCTGAATCAATTGACTTTTTTCCACTTGACATGCCCAAAAATTCTAGAAAAAAAATCAAAACAACATTTAAATAGTATGCCTGCAAAGTCGTATTTTTTATGCTGCCCAGATGGGTGTTGACACCGTCTCACAACTGGAGATATGCTGTGTCTCACACCCAGAAATTGGCGCTATTTTGAAAAAGGAAAATTAAATTATTTTCAACCGTAGATTGGAACAATGCAATATTGCATCACAAAATATAAGGAAAACACTAAAAGAAAATGCATTACATTTACCTTTTCCAATTAATTAACTTGGAAAAAAAGTACTTTGTATTTATTGAAAAAACGCTTTTTAGTCGATTATCACACACAGTGTTGGTATTTAACAAAAACAGTTTATATATCCGCTTCGGCGTACACGAAAAAGTTGGCTCATATAAAAAGAAATGTTTTTATATAAACCAATCGGCTTTTTAATATTGCATGTTAAAAAAAATTGACTGTCTCACAACTGGAGGTGTCTCACAACTGGAGACTCTCCCCTATTAATTAAAATTTTCTTCTTAATTAAATCATTTATATTATTTCATTTTATTTTGTTAAATAAAAATCTCAAAATAACTTAAAAACAAATTTTATTCGTATATCTTATTATTATTATTATTATTATTATTATTATTATTATTATTTTTTTTTTTTTTTTTTGCTTAGGGAATTTTGGGAAATCTGCTTACAGATACCTTGGACTCCGCACTCCAAGGTTATGTGGGGTTGGTAAAATAAAAAAAAAGGGAATTTAAAAAAAAAGGATAAATAAATAAATGTTATAATAAATTTAATAAACTGGCGACCTACTACCAGCCCGACCCACTAAAACCCGTAACCCTTCTTTTGGAGCCCTTTACCCTCCCTCGGAACTGTCGTAAGACTTTAGCCTTCGAGGGAGGCGCTCCAACTCTATCGCTGCTGCGACTTTGTTCTGTGTCTGCGGTTCTCCTGCGTCAATAGTTAAAAAATTTAAAACTATTTCAATATAAAAGCGGAATTAACAGCACAACAACAATAAAAAACAAAAATTTTAAGAAGTTTAAAAAGTCAAAAGATAAAATTATAAACGGATATATAAAAAAAAATAAAAATAAACGCGTATAAAATATTGAAAACATAAAATTGTACAAAGATGAATAAAAAAAACAAAACAAATTAAAAAAAATGTATAGGGACAAATTAATCACAAAATAAATTAATAAAAAACAAACAAACAAATTAAAAGCTGTTTAAATTACGCCTTTTGGCGGCCGTC